AAAAATGTATCTATATATAAAACCTTTCCCATTATACCTCTGTTCTCCCACCACTCTACCATAGCGCCTATATATATCTATCCTATATATAAAATAATAATTTATTTATATTGTTACATATATGTATATTGAATGTGATATATATGCCAGTATATTTATCCGGTATATATACATATTTTGTCTGTTCTTATAACATCGAAACTGTTTTAAGTTTTATTTATTTGCAATTAATTTTTGTTATTGTAAAATTCTTATTTATTTTTAATAAATATCACATCACATAAGCAGCAACAAAAACGTTAAAAGCTACAACAAATTGAGAAGGTTTTTTAGCATCTATTTTATTTATAAAATTATTCTACTATTTACAAATATCCAATAATTGTTTAAACAAGTATACTTAGTTTATAAAATGTAAATAATTTATTATAAGCCGCAGTTAAAAACAAAACAAAACAAAAAAATAAAACTACATGAGTATGTAAATTTAGTATTTAAGTGGAGATTTTAAATGAGACAATGTGTGAAGTTTCTAATAAGAGTCAACAACAACAACAAAGTTTTATGAATATTAAAAATATACAACAAAACTAAATTCAAAAAGGATCATTTTTGAAACTCAAAAATTATTTGTGTTTTATTTTATAATATAAAATATATTATTTTCTAATATCTAATATAAGATCTGAGATCAATTATTGCTTAGTCTGATGAAGTGATAAACAATAATCCAGTCAAGGCGTAGAGTGGGGTTTTGAAGATACCTCGCAGTTAATAGAGAATAAAAGTGCTCAAGTGCACTGACTTAACTAGCTTCAACATAATAATATATAATCAATCATATATAATACGTATAAGAACGATTGATGACTGTTTTCATCATCGAAAAGGAAAACATTACAGTGGAACCTATAACATATATTGTGCAAAGTAATATATCTAGATAGGTAGAGATATTGATAAATAGAACTAGTTGGCTAAGATCACACATCAACCAAGTAGATTCGTAGCAGTACCATATTAGAGTTGTTGTTATCGTTATCCGAAGTGACCTACTGATATTATACCTTTCGACAGGAGTGGACGGTACGGCATGATAATCACATTTTTCATAAAACAAGATAATAAAAAATGAAATATAAAGTAAATTAATTTTTATTTGCATCCCAGACACAAGAACAGAGTAGCCTAACAAAAAATAAATTTAAAAAAATATAACCTACTGGTCAAAAAACCTCATTATTAAAAAAATTTCCTTTGAATGAGTCTTTTTGGAGGTATCATTCTAATAAGTACCACTGTTAAATATCTCGGTATGCAATTAAATATAAGATTAACATGAGAGAAAGATATGCCGCACAGAAAAAAAAACTTGATCCGACCAATTCAATATTTGCTGGATTCAAGATTAGAATTCAACCTTTATAAAAAGATTTTCTTATGTATAGGTATTATAGCACCATATAAATAAGTAATAAATGATATATTACAAAAAGAAATCCTTGTTTTTTAAATTTTGCAGCAGATCAGCTGCTGTTGTTGTTGTTGTAGCCCGCCGAAATCTGCTTTTGTGAACCGTTTGGAGGATGTTGAACACCATTTGGTTGTCTTCGACGAGTGGCTCATGGCGACTAAAAAAATTCTTTGCCCAAAGTTCAAAATAAATAAATAATATGCTAATTTTTTTTCAACATCAGAATTATTTATTGAATTCTCTTTCTTGCAGACTAACAATTCATATTTAAATCTTAAATCTTTAAGAACTATTTATATATAATAATACATTAGAAAAATTAGACCGTTACAAGTTAACTATTATAAGTAATTTCCATTTTATGGGCCTCAACTATTTATAATTGGGCTGTAAATGTAAAATGGTATATGTTACATGAATAGATTGTTTAGGAATTAAATAATTTCGCTGAAAGAAGGGGCAAGAATTAATGAATAAGAGAGAAAAATGCGTTCTACCAGCAAATTTTCGAGTAAATGACAACATCTAAAAGAGCGTAGCAACCATATTGAAATTTGAAAATGCTACACAGACTTTACTGGTACATTTTATTTCAAGTAAAATTTGTGTTGATGGGTGAATCAGCTGTTTTGGTTTGGATTTAAACTTTTGTATTGTTTATTTGCGCGGCATTGGTGTTCTCATCACACTTTACGCAAAGCTCTTCCATGAAAATATGTATAGAGCGTAATTTAGCACTTTATTTCTGTTACGCTCTCAGTACGTACTTTATTTGTGTTTTACTCGAGTTTTACTATGAATAGCTGGTGGAACAGACCTAATAAGTTTTAATATGACTTTTGACGGGCGATTAATATATTAATGATTTTAAAAAGTTGATATTAATATGCATTATATATTACATATTATATTAAAAATAAATACAAAATTTACACTATTTAAAATAAAATTAAATATATAATATTGTAATAATAATATTAAATATTATTAAATTAATAATATGATATATAATAGTATTTTAATAATAATATTAATATTATAATAATATTAAATACTTTTTCTTATCAGATAATTGGTAACGCTATTGTGGCTATTGTGGATTGTAATTTAGGAATGTGGAATGCAAAACGAACTTCACAACTGTCAAAATAACCGCCAAAATACATAAGCAAAACAATTTCGTGCTTAGACACAAGGGAAGTAAATATATTGAAATGGATTTTCGACGTAAAACTCGGCAACGTGTGGAAAGAAAAGCAGAATATGAAAACTTGGAACAAAAGTATCCACTTAATGTCACAATATATAAACTACCACCAACTGAAGATATTAAAATACAGGAATTCGAAGATTTGGCGCTGGAACGTTTAAAGGTCTTGCGTATTTTTGATCTGGCCGGAAAGAAAGGTTTTCGTTTACTTTCAGATGAATGGAAAGAGTTTATCAATGCTGAATTATTACGTGAAGGCTTAAAAGATTACTTAAGATTATGTGATGGTGGATCGAGTCATACAACTTCAAGCACCAAAAAGGAAGCAGAACTGCAAGCAAGACGCAGGGATTACATATCGCATTTCATATTACGTTTAGTTTATTGTCGCTCCGATGATTTGAGACGGTAATATAATATCAATATTTAAATAACAGTTTATACAGAGATTTTATGTTTCAATTTGCAGTTGGTTTCTATCGCATGAGTTAGAACTTTTTAAATATAAATTTTCATCTCTGAGCAGCAACGATATAAAACAATTTCTTGAACTGAATAAGTTAAATTACGTACCGCTCACAGAAAAACAAAAAGATGAGGTAAAGGATGGTCTGTATGAAAGTACCGCAGGACATAGTGTTGCTAAAATAGAGTTGCTGGATTTCTACAAGGTGCCATTTACGCAGGTGTATGATTTGGTGCGTGGTCGACGTTGTTTCCTTAAGGATGGCTATGCGTATGTGAACACCAACGATTTTGTGTCAATTGTTGCTGTAATGCAATTGAATGAAATTGAACACGGTTTGGAATCAGCACGGAGGCGTATAAAAGAAATTGAAACGGATGAGCGAATCCTTTATTTACTCAAGTCGTTGCATACATCATACACTGGCAAAGACTATACATTGAACAAAGAAGCCAGCGTGCCGATCGAATCACTTGATCAGCTTTCGAAAAAGTCATTTCCACTATGTATGCGCGATTGCCATGATCATATACGAGCTAAGCATCACATAAAATATGGTGGACGTATGCAGTATGGCTTGTTTTTGAAAGGAGCTGGCGTAACACTGGAAGGCTCATTAAGATTTTGGCGTGAAGAATTTACGAAAATAATGGACTGTAATAAATTCGAAAAGAATTATGAGTACAACATATACCACAACTATGGCAAGAAGGGTTCCATGATCAATTATTCACCATATTCGTGCAATAAAATAATACAAGACAGTATTGCTCCCGGTGATGCACATGGTTGTCCATACAAAAAATACGATCCGTCAACGTTAAAAACAAAATTAATTGCCAATGGGGTTTCAGCGGCACACGTCCAAGAGATTATGAGCTATGTGACGAAGGGGCATTATCAGCTCGCATGTGGCAAATACTTTCAGATCGTGCATGAGAGCTTGGTTGATGTGGGTATCAACCATCCGAATCAGTATTTTGAAGAGAGCCAAACGCTAATGGGTAATCGCACAGAAAAGAAAAATGATAAATTAATTCAACGTAAGGCAATTAAACGCAATGCTAATGATAAAAGCATGTTTCCTGCTGCTAATGATGATGATGAGTTGTGGAATATTGCCGAAACGCAGGAAAATCAATATCGAAGCCAGCAAGCTGAGCAAACTGCTTGGGACGAAGACCTGGATCTAACGGCAATTGATTGTTAAATAAGGAAATAAATTATAAATTATTTAAATTATTTAACTTAAGAACATCCTACAATATATAATAAATTATTATCAAGTACTCTTCACTCATTGCAAGTAGAGTGTTCAATATGTTAGCTAAAAGATCAGAGGTACTCTCATTGTAAAAGCGATATTGGGTACGATAATCGGTTATATGTTGTATGGTGAACTAGAATATTTTTTGTTAAGATATGAAATTAATTTTTAAGTTAAAATAAACTTTAAAATACATGTAACAACCCAGTGTTTAAGTGCTAGTTAAAGCTATCTTTCAGTAGTTAGATATGTAAATATTCGCACTAGCCCAATTGGGTCTGAGGTAATTCCGTATGTTTCTTCGTAATAAATGTGTCATGATGACAAATTGTTTCGAAATTTTTACACATTGCGAGAATCTAAACAGATATATATTATTTATTAGGATTGAACAACGTAACATAAGAGGTGGTTATTCCTTATATTTAAAATATATATCTAGGAATTGTATGAAACTATATAACATAACAGTATCATGTAATATATATGTAGAGCAGGTATAATATATATCACAGAAAAATTCATATTTTTTAGCTAATCAGATTTTTGCATTTAAATCTAAATTCGTGTTAGATTTGATTGGAGTGGCGGCCTTGTACACCAAAGCCCACTTGACCTGAAATAATAGCTGGTTACAATACCGTACTTTAGTGTTGTTCGTTTCTACCGATTATGTTTATCTGATTAATGAACTTTTTTTTAAAAATGTTAATATTTGTTTATTTTCTTTTTTTGAAAATGTTAATATTAGCAGAATTTATTTTTTTACTAATTATGCGCAAATTATATCATACAGAAATTATACAAAATTTCACAAAAGCTCCAGCTAATTGATCGTTGAATTTTTAATTTTAAAAGAAATAAATAATTATTTTTGTTTTCTTAACGGAACAACTCTGATCTTCTTTGTAACATTGGCAGCAGAGAATATCTTTTATAGAATGGAAACTCCGCCCACCTCGATCAAAACTAAGAGAAATTGCTTAAGAAAATTCATTTTTTATAACATTTTTGTCACACGTATTATATAAGTGTGATTAAACCACATTTATGCCACTTTTACGCTCTTTCATGCTCTTTCAGGGCTGCTGCATAACTTTTTTTCAACTACTTACTGTACAAGTTTTTATATAAGCAGATATATAAATACTCATTAATGAATGAAAAGCATACATTACATATAATTTGAATATTGTTAAATTAAATGAAATTATTTACAATAACATATAATCATGCAAAAAATTTTTTTGATTGTAATTAAGTATGTTACACAATTATTTATACACTTTTCTTAGCTATTTATATATTTATGATGTGCGGAAAATACTTGAGAAGGGTTTCATATAATATGTTGAAAGCAATTAAAATCTATTTTAGCTTAAAATTGAAAAAATATGTTTTAAAATTAAATTCAGTATAATATCATATTAATAATGTTTTCCATTTAAATAGCTTTTTGGAGTTAAAATATTTGTAAATTGGGTATATTATATAATGAAAATTTAAGTTATATGACATTAATATATACCTATAACTTATTTACTATTGCATGTAGCATAAAATTCACACATCTATGCAAATAAATTATATACTGAAAAATAGAAATAATTAATTTTTATAATAGTAATTCAGTGTTAAACATATCAAAAGTGATATTATAATTTATTTTACTTATTTTCAGAAATAAATAACTGAGTATATAGCATTGTTCACTTCAAGAAGTATAATATTCCAAAATTTATTTAATATATATTGGTTTTCGTTAGAAATTTTAGCAAATTATTTCAAAATTAAATAAATTTTTAAACAATCGCAATTAATACTAATTTTATTGCTTACACGGCCACTCCATCGCAGTGAATGCATTTTTAAAATAGAGCATTGCCTAAGAAATTTTCATTCTTATTAATTCGTAAAACGAATTTTAAAGTCAGTACCGAATAAATAGTTGATGCGTGGGGGTGCGCACGCATGTCAACGAGCATGGTTCAATTTCTGCCTACAAAATTTCATTTTATGATTTCGTAAAACGAATTTTGTAGTCAGTACCGAATAGGTCGTTGATGCGTAGGGGTGTGCGCGCTCATCGTCAATTTTTGTGTTGAGTATTATTAATAAGCATTTCGGATTTATTTATTTATTATTAACTTTACACAGTCATTTAAATAACAAGTAAAGAAAAAAAAATACTTACTGCTATAGCAGTTTGGGCCTTAAGCAACTACGTAGTGATAATTTAATTATTAAATGTACTATTTTAACAGTTTGACTTATTTTATAACTTAAAATATATTTACATTAGTTATATGTTTACTTAATTTTTCCCTAAATAAGATGGTAGAAGTTTGAAAATTTTAAAAACTCTGACATCTTGGGTTAATTAATTGGATATAATAATTTTTTATGTATTTTCCACACCACCTTTGAGGTATACATAGAGGCGCGTTACCGAGTTAAGGTGCCGGTTCCCCAGGAGGCATATATACACCATTTTTATATATTTTATTTTAAAACTATAATATACAAAATATTTACATTGTAATTTAATAAATATAAGTTTTATATTACAAAAATATAAATCAAAAATTTTAAAAAATTATAAATACAAGTTTAAATATTTTATATGTTAATTTAATTGATAATTATTAATTAAAAGTAAATCATTATCATCATATGAATTTACAAGTAATAATAAATAATATAAAATTAAAAGCATAAATTATTGTACAATGTATACCAGAAAATGTATAATTTATTTAAAAAAATGGAATGGAACATTATATATATAAAATATTATTTCTATACAAAAGACAAATAAAAATATATGTAGATGTCATCAAACAAATATATATTTTAAACATAAGAGTCTTAACAAATCTTTTTAATTTTGAAATGCTATTGCGGTATTCACTTTAAAATTAGTGGATTGAAAAGTACATGATAATGCCATAAAAATTGTAAAATCTACAAATGCGTTACACGCAAAACCTTTTGTCAAAATTAGGAACGTTAAGTTCTCTATTAAAAAATTTTAAAATGAAATATATTCGCATCCTTATAAACAGGGTCAAAATACTATGTGGATTGGTCCTATTACAACAGATATAAGGGCGAATATTTTTTAGCTTCTCATATAAAAATTGAGCGATACCAACTTTGTGATAATTTTTATCGAAATATTGGCAAAATTCTTTATCTAATTTTTTAACATAATCAACGAAGGCCTTTGGTGGATGCACTAAATTGCAATCTTTGAATTGTTTCTCAAGAGTGAAAAAATAATCATTTGAAATTTCATTAACTAATGGAAGGCCTGCTTCGCAATTGTGCAACTTAAATATTTTATAGTACATCCATCCACAAACATAAGTGAAGGCATTTGTTTTTAAAAATACTTCTTCACTTATGTTTATGCTAGCATCAAAATCAAAATTTTGAATGAAGGAATGCATTGGTGAACCTGATCTTTGAGGGTCCTGCCAAGATGTGTCTATAACCAATGCATCATTACAAACACTTGCCATATTATTGGACAAATCAGTTAAGTTATTTATATTATTTGAAGGGTCAACAAAAGACGGACAATCAAACTCAACTAATTGTTCGCAATTTCCTTTTCCTCATCTTTTAATTTGAGGAAACGGTCTTTTTCCTCAAATGCCTTCTCTAATGTTTTTAATTTCTTTTTCAAAACTAATGAATCTTCTCTCAATTTTCTTTTTCTAGGAGTTGTTTCAGAAAGACTACTGTCTGTTTGGACCTCTCTTCCACAAACAGAGCTTATACTATTTGAAACTAATGTCCTAACCGATTCACTAGAGAGGTTGAAATTACTACGCTGACTTTCTACATTACTTTTATTGTCTTTTGCATTGTCTAATTTATTAATAAAACTTCTTTCTAAATTTCTGTCTGGATATGCATGTTTACATAGTTTTTTATGCATAATCATTTCTTCTGAAAAATGATTGTTGCATGCATATATAATTTTAGTCTCGCCAACTACTCCTAAACGACTCTTCCATTCAGCTCTAATTTATTAAATTATAATGAAAATAAAATATGATAAGAATAATATAAAAAATTGAAACATAGAACACAAAACACAGAACATTTATTAATTGGCCTCCAATAAATTACAAGAAAACAATTATTAGTTTTGGGGAAATTTTCTTAATACATTAACAAAAGCTGTATTGTAAATTAATTACTTCATACTTTTTTTAAGTTTTTAAAAAATTTGTGTTTTTGAAAACAATTCAATATTCCTTTACTACAAATAAATTCAAACAACATGAAATAAAATATATTAGTATTCTTTTATAGAGACACATCTTAGTTTCGTATAATTCATATAAAATTTGTTCGTTATCTTTTATGAATTAAAAAAATATACACTAAACTCATTTATTTATATATCAATTTATTTTTTATTATAAAATACACTTAATACAATTCATACAACACTCAAATAGTTATAGTTAGACAACTAAAATATAGAATATAGAATAAACATGTATATAAAACTTAATATTAAAAATGAACTAAAACAATACTCATAGTATTTCTTAATATTATTTTCACAGTAATATTAATACAGGAATACAAAAACTTACCAAACAAACATTTCATAAATAACGTACATGCAGGTTTATCTTTTAAAACACAGATTATAACACAACAAATAATAATAACAATTGTATTCTTACCTCCCTTCCCCATCGGTTGCTGGAAATTTGTATAGAGTTTTGTAAGTTGCACAGCCTCTAACACAGTGTCTCACCATCTACAAAACATTAATTTATTAATTATATACTCCACTATTTTTAAATCATAATTATTATTATTTACCTTCTTTATTATTATTTAAAAAAAAATGTATGATTAAACAACTTTGTCACTTTTTGCTTCACAATATTGGGCGCAAATAAATTTTACTACTTTTTAACAATCATTTGCGCGGTAATTATTTTTTAAATATGGCGCAGTACAATCAAATTTTTTGTCAAAAAATCAAAACAGAGAACCAAAATTATGCTCCCTGTTGCACTCATTGCCCATAAAATTTTTCGTAAGAGTAAGTTAAGGTTCGTATTCGGAGCAAGTTAAGGTCCGTATTCGGAGCGAATAAGGACCTAAACTTGCTCAATTTGGAAATAATCGTACGTTTTGAGATGGTATTAGTGCAATTTCTGAAAGTGTGTTTGTTATTTTCTGTTGTGCTCATTTAAGTTTCCGTTCTATATAAAATCTTCTTTGATTGGCAGCTTTGCCTTCAAAAATAATTTATAACAATTTACATTTCGCGCTGCCAACTTTCAATATAAAATATTTATTAATTTAACCGTTGATAATATTGCTCGATATTTTTGTTTGCAATAAAAAATATTTTAATATAATCATGTAATCATGTAATGAATATTATTATTAATCTTATAATTTTTCGTAAATATTTTAACGGTATCAACAGCAAACAGTAAATAAGAATACCATACATTTCATCTAACTGGAAAATGTGCAAATTTAAATAATTACATAGCAACCCTGTCAGCATTCGGCTGCAACTATAATATGGCGGCGGCCATGATTTAAACATATGGGCAAAGTCATGTCAATTTCATATCTAAACCAAACAAAATTTTTAGATGGACGACGACTCATTTTTTGGATTTGATACATCAATACCGGTAAATTTAACAAAAGGCATTAATTTTCTTTGTTTTTCTTATTGATTTAAGTTTTTAAACGCATAAATTTGATATGTGAGAGAAACCCCCACCCAGGGTATAAAAAACTAATTGCGTGTAAAAAAAAAAATTGGTGAAATCGGCCAACGGAGCATTTCGTGGCATTTTGTAAAAAACATACAAATTTATTTCAATAACAATTTGCATATAATTTGTTTAAAGTTTTTAGATTAACAAATTATTTGTATTTACAGTTAGACGATGATGGAGGAGGTCGCATTGAGGAGCCCTCCGAAGAGGAGTATGACGCCCTTAACGATGAAACATTTGGTGCTGCTATTAATGGCGATTGGGAGGAAGCGCATGAATCGCTTGTACGTTTAACCGATAATTTTACCTGTAGCAGCGGTGAACGCTTAAATAGCAAACAACATGGTAATAATGATAATAGACACCGGTTAGCATCGCCTACATCGTCAAGAGGTTCTTCGCCTTTTTATGGCACACGACATCGTAACCCAATTGCTGATTCTGATTTAGAATTAAATTTATCTGGCATGAAATTGGATGATGTCGATATTAATTTCGGTGATGGTGAAAGTTTAAGCGGTGATTTAAGCTCAGGTATAAACCTCGATCCTAGTGTATGGGCATCACAACCTTTGAAACCAACAAATCACACCCATCATTTAGACGCAATAAAAGGAAATAATTCATTATTTTCAAGTATAAACAATAACTCTGACATAAAAGGTTTAAATATAAATCCTGCAGATTTTTTACGCCAACATATCTCTAGCCCTTTTGCACATCAACAACAGCAAAATCATCACTTGCAACAACAACAGCAACAACAACAAATAAAAGTGAACACAAACACCAATGGTGCTTTCGGTTTAAGTCAACTTCCCAACGCTGGTACGAAACCTAAGATTTGTACTGTAGAAGACATTGAACGCAATATTATCATGCAACAAGCCATGCAAAAACAACAACAACAAAAACTAAAAGAACTCGAACAGCAACAGAAACAACAACAAATGCTAAATTCAATGTTTAAACCAGCCACTTCAAAAACACCAACTCCTGTAAATCCTCATCCAAATCAAATAATGCAAACTCAACAACAAATTCAACACCAACAGCAGCAACAACAACAGCAACAAAATAAAGGTTAGTCAGCTGAATGATAAAATTTATATAGTCAGACTATAAATAAATTCTACCATTCATAGATATATATACATAATATATTATATATGCATATATCGCCATTATTTATCTGTAAATTGTTTATTATTTTATTTAGTGTATTAGTTAGTGTATTAATAGCAAATAGTTTATTACGCATTTATATATACTTTATTAGCTAAGATAAATTGTTCCTTAGGAAGAAAAGTATTTATAAATATTTATTCTTAATGAAATGAAATTTTTTTTTTATTTTAATATAAGAGAAATCAATTTTATCATAATTTATAACTGATTATTCTTATTTTGCACTACATCCAGTGTGAACCTTGGTCTCCCTTTATAATTGATTATTCCTTTTTAAATTCGTAAAATTCATTAGCTTTAATGACGACTGTAGTATAGTATTTACAATTAATTCCTTCTTTTTGTAGGTATAAACTTAACTCTATTGGTTTCAATCAAGACTGTAGTATAATTAATAACTTTACTAATTCTTGAAGTCCTAAGTTAACTCTCTATTAGCTTCAAGCGAAATACTTAATTACGACAAGTACATAAATATTTATTTAAGCTAAAATTTGTTTTTTAATATCTCTGAATATATCCTATATTTATTTAAATCATCCTAAACAGTTTGTTTTATATATAATAAACACATATACATATTCATATAATAACTACAATTGAAAAATTGAAAGCAATGAAATTGGTAGAAAATAGTTTAAATAATTATTTTAATTCCCTTTTCCATATGTTTCTTAGATGAAGATACATTTCGAACTAGACACAACCTTCTAGAATCACCCTATAGAAAATAATTGCATTATATTTGATTAATTCATCAATTGCGTTCAACTATTGTTAGAAATAAAAATTGAAGATAATTAAAATTATTTTATATTAATATTTATTTAAATCAATATTTCGGCTTTAATCTAAAGTCGTCTTCAGAAAACTGACAAATAACAAAAAATAGAAATATATATATATATCGAAAATAGAATCAACAGTCTCCTAAATTAATATATAATTATCTTTTATAATAAAGTTAATTGAGATTAATCTAGATTTGTTGTATATACATATTTGATGTTGTTGTAGTCCATGAGGATCTGCTCGTAAAATCCCTTTGAGGAGTGATGAACGGTACTTGGTCTTCGAAATTGACGAGTGCTTCGATGGCTTAGACCTGCCCGTTCTTGGAACCTGCATATATGGTACATATGGTACATATATGTTTTAAGAGAAGAAACATATATAGCTTGTTATAGAATTATGTAATAACTGGCTATTAAATAAATTTCAATTGCAGTTTTTATTTTTGTAAAAACATTATTTCTTTTATGTATTTAAATAATTTCAAAATTATTACATATTATACATTCATTTTCGTATTTATCTTTTTGTAGGACCTCCAGGTTTTATAAATGCCGGTTCACCGCCAAGGCCAGCAAGCAATTTAATTAATAATTTAGCACAACATCCCTTAAATAACATGCTGCAACAACCAACTGCAACTGGTAATCGTTTACCGCCTGGCTTTCCTTTATTTAATCCAGGTATGCCGCCGGGACATATACAACAACGTGGTCATCTTCATATACCACCACATCCCTTGCTAAACCAACATGGCTTACCACCAAATTTTCCGCATGCAGATCCGCGCACACTGCCGAATCCACATCTTCCAATTGCGCTAAACAATTTTGCGATGCATCCTAATTTTAATGCAATGCGTGCCAGTGCTGTAACCGGAATGTATCCACCTGGACTAATTCCTCCTGCTATGGCACAATCTCGTATGCCCACACATCCACCGAATCCCTTACAATTTCTACATCAACAGCAAGCAAACTCCATGTTCAATATGCGACTTGTACAGGAAATTCAGCAAAATCATCCATTACTACAAAATGCCAGTCGACAAATGTTACAACCACAGCAGCAGCAGCAACAACAACAACAACAACAACATGCTAACGCAAATGCTAATCATCAGAATCAACAACGCGCTGGTCTTAAGCAAGCGCATCAGCGACGTGATGGCATTTCTGCAAACGGTAACTTACCACCTGAAGAATATGACGAGTATGCCAATTTAATGAGCATTCGAGATAAACATTGGTTAATAGGCATACAGCTATCCCAACTGAATACAGATACTCCATATATCGATGATTATTACTTTACCGTTTATCGTGAACGAAAATCACAGCTTAGTGGCAATGTGCGTCATAGCAAAGCACATAAGGACAACCAATTGAATCATCCGTTCTCGCAGCCTAAAGGTCATGCACAACTTGTACTGGTACAGTTAGGCAATAAGAACGGCACACGTAATGGTCAACATCGCGAGCGTCATAATTCAGAAACTAGCGGTGGTAATAATTTGAATCAAGAACAGAAAACACCTTACATTTTCACGCCACTCAAGTTTGAAAATTCCTTGGGAAAATTGCAGTATGGCAGCGTCACTGCACCACGTAAAATTATTGATGCGGATATAATGAGTGGAGAGTTGAATGATAACTTAAGCAATAACTTAAGTGCTGCTAAAGCAAGCGGTCAAGGTATTAAATTGCCAAATGTTACAACGGGTAATTTTCATGACATCACCATATCTGCTCAGCGTAAATCGCGCCACATACTACTACACATCGAGACATTATACCGTATAGTGCTTAAGCTTGATGATCTAGAAAATCCTGATGCTATTGCGACAATTATTATGAAAAAGAAGAAGGAAAGTGAACGTATCGCAGCACTGGAACAGCTCGAAAATGCCAATAAGACGCCAGAAGAGCGCGCTGCAGAAGCCACAAATCCACAAACAGTTAATCCTGTGCTTAAGAATAAATTTGCTTATGAAATTGAGACGAAGGAAGCATTAGTTGACAAATTAATTGCAGGTTTAAAACATGAAAAAGTCATGGCTATGATGAATATACGCAAAGGAAAGGTGAGTCTGAATGTGAAATACCTTATTAAACAAATTTTTTAATATATTTTTTTTTATTTCTAGAACTTAATACGTCGCATCATGCCATATTTAGTGGATAATCCGGTACGTTGGAATGTTTGGATTAGCGTATTAGCTTCACTACAAAATGTTTATAAAAAAGATCGTGAAGACACTGAGGGTGTTCTGTACGCGTTATATCCAGAATTTGAAAAGCAGATATTGGAAGCTAATTTTGATACAACAGTTAAAATTGCTAAAGCTATACCATTGAAAGATAAAAAAATCAATGCTGTCTTTTGTAGTCGAGTAAGTACACACGTGCTTTAATTTTTTTACTTATGCCTTTTAATAATTAATTTTTTTCTATAAATCTGTTAGTTTGGAATATCGTCACTGGTTTGTCTGATAATACAAGTCGAGCAGATTTATGTTAAGGGCATCGATCCTACATTAAATGAAGTTAACAAATACAATTGGCGTTCATTTTTAGATGAAGTAGCAACATCACTTAATCGCACTTTACAAAGTCAAACAATAAATGCCACAATCGAATCTTATTCGATTGAAGCTGTTATGCATCATTTTGCACGTTTCAAGGACTTGCAGTTGGACTCACTTCTGGCGCTTATAACTAAGGCAAAAGAACAAGTAAATTAAATTTTGTAATATTTAAACAAAAAACTTGATTTCTTAACATTTTATGACTAGTAAAAATTTAAATTATTTTTGTGTGAAATTATGTACAGTAGCTTTGTTTTCTTTATTTAATTAAATCTTATATGCTTATTTATGTAATATTTAAATGTAATTATACATTGAACTTGTTCAACTTTCTTCATTTAATAGAACAATTAAATTAAGAGAAGCTACTGTACAAAATATTTAAGCAAATAGAAAGAAAGTTAAGCTTTCTTAAGTTTATTTTAAAGTTGATAAAGTAAATATTTAATGCACAATATTTTGTTAGCAGTGCAACTATAACTAAACATTTATTAAAAACAATTTAATTATGTAAAACGTAATTAATTTTTTAATTTAAAAGTTACTATTAATTTTTTAAATTCATCCTTTTTTAAAATTAGTTATAATTTTTTTTTCATCACCAATTACACAAAGTATGCTTAACTCTTCTAGCTGTTAACTAAACTATTAAATAAATGTTTAAATCTGTAGTAAATAAAATAAAGCTAAAAACAAAATATCGTGCATTAAATAATATAAAACATAGACGTTAATTTTTTTTTATAAACATCAAGTTTTATTTTATTTATATATATAATTATTTAATTTAAATTTAACTAAGTTTTAATTATTTTATTTTAATTAATTTCACAATTAAAGGTTATGTTTTTTTCAATGACTTTCATATTTTCATGTAAATAATTGAAATTAACAATATTGATTAAAATTTTTTATACAAAATTTTATGAAATACAGATTAAAATATTATTAAGAGTAAAGAGCAATTTATTAAATATTGATTTTATTGAAAAAAAAAAAATAAAAACAAATTCCCGATTGATTTACATTAATCAACATTTAAAGTAAAAAAAAAACATATAAAAATATAATATAAAAATATTGGGCTTACACTGCTTATATTAAAAAATTAATAATTTGACTTGAATTATTTATTCAAATTTTTCCAAATTATAAAATAACTGTTAATATAATATAAACAATGTTGAATATCTGAAATTTGGACATTAAAAGTTAACTAAAAAAAGTTATTTTCACTAAAATGCAAAGAATATGTAAAGAAATTAATAAATTTTATAATTAAAAATGTAAATTACTAAAATCATTTAAAGTTGTACTGCATACTTGACTATTTTTAGTTAACAAAACTATATATTATTATATATATTAATATATTTATGTAACAGATATAATAATTAAAACTTATCTATTATATACCTAACTATGCGTCAAAAAAATGATTTTTTTCTATTGAATATAATAGATACTCTGTATGAAATTATCGCTTATAAAAATTATGTTTTAATTTTTGTTTTTAATTTTTATATATGTACGTATGCATTAAAATTTTTATTTTAAACTTAATATAACTAAAAAAATATAAAAAAAAACAATTTTTAAAATTAGTAATAACTGGTAAAAAGCATAAAATAAAAAATGTCAGTAAATACCGCCTTAGGCATATATGTAATGGTTTTTATTTTATAGTTTAACAATTATGTAAGCAAACAAAAAAAAAAGAAACTTAAGTATATATAAAAAAATTTTGTTAACCTTTTAATAACTTAAAAAGTTTGTTAAATAAAAAATGTAATAAGAAAAGAAAATGATTTTGTCAAACTAAAAATGATATATATGCTACAAGGATGAATATATGTTTCAAAAATCCAAGTGCATTTTTAAATATTAAAATGTTGTTACAAAATATAAAAATATTTAAAAAAATAAATAAATAAATTAAATAAGAACAAATTAAGTTTAAATTTATATAATTGTTTTGCGCAAATTCAAGTGTTTTTATATATAATATATATAGCGTTTTGATATGCTTGTCATCGTCATTCATTATCATTTTTATTATTAATTAATTTTTAATTAGTTTTTTTCTTTTTTAGTAATCATATAAAAACTAAAAAATTTTAAATAAAATGAATATATGAGAATTTACAGCAAAAATATATAAATATAAATATTTTGCAATATTTTTACGCACTTTTAAAGCTTAAACAATATAGCATATTTAAAAATATTAACGCATAAAAATATGTGCTTTTATTTTACTTAAATAATTTTAAATAAGTTTTCAAATATTTTCTATGGTAAAACTTTTTTAATTTTATATCTAATTTATGTAGCTTGTTTTTTTATTTATTAAATATATTTTAATAGTGTTTCGTTAACACAAAATTTAAATTATTTTGTTGGTTTCCATTTTGTAATTTATTTTTGTTCTTTTTTTATTTAAACAAAAAAATTAAAATTCTTTATAAAAATAATTATCTCAACAAATTACAAATATAACTAAGAGCAAAGCAATATATAATAATTTTGTAACTAAAAACTTGCAATTGTAATAAAGTGGTTTAAAATTTTTTGGCGCCAATATTTTAATATGAAAAAAAAACAATATAAAATATAAAAAATATTTAGTTAATAGTTTTATATTAGACACAAATTGCTATTGTATAATTCAACTATTTTGGCATAAAATAGAAAAACAAAAAACATGTATAATAAATTTCAACTTTCTTTTTACAAAACAAAAAAAAAAATATATATATATATATATATATATATAAAAAATTTAAAAACAAATATATGTATTTGCATATATTATATACATATATTTCAAATATATAAAAACAAAGTGTAAAATCATAAAGCATCAATATTTTAAATTTGAAAACTTTCAGTAAATAAATTATACTCACCTGCAAATATGTGTTTTAAATAAAATTTGTGTTCATTTCATTATATAAAAATATTTAAAGAAATATCTTGTCTTCTTGTTACAGCTGTTCACTGATATATCGATCCTTGGCAAACGCTCTTTGGGTTTAAAGCTCATTACTTATTTCCAGTGCTTCGAATCGATCTGAATGGTAAAAGAAAAGTTTTTCTTCTCTTTATTATTATAGACTAGCAATGGACTAGCTCTACCGTTTGTAGGGCTGTAGAAAAGTAACAAGAACGAGACACTGCTACAAGTACTTTATAAACATTGGAATACCTAAGGTAAGACAAAGTTAATATAAGAAAGTGATAACGATATTCAAAAAGCTGAGGAGGGAACTTGAGGTGCTTTTCTCGCAAGTATTATATATTGTTACTATAATCTAATATTTTTAACTTTAATATTACTTAGATAATAAAATCGGTCAATAAGATACACATTTTAGGTAGAAAAGAAGATTCCTCCTTCTCTCGATCACTCGACATACTCGATTCTGAAAATTTAAGTTCTGCAGTCAGGTGATATCTGCAAAATTTCTGTGATTTCTGCCAGGTTGCTTAAGTCATAGACGTTCTGGAGATTCTTTCAAATTTTCCTTAATCTTGCCAGGTTTCTAATTCTTCTTCCAATCTGCAGCTACTGATTTTCGGTTTGAAAAGGATGTAGAAAAAATCTAAACGGTTAGATTGTTGTATAAAATAAAATTTTAAGAATTTAGATTACACTATAAGGAGTTTTGGAATAATGAAATAATAATTTTGATTAGTCTTTTATAATCTTCGTTCATAGTTTTTAGAATAATAAATTGATAGCTTTTAACTACATATTAGAAATAAAATAAAAGTATTATATTTAAAGTTTTATGTATAGAATAAAAGTATTGATATAATCCATTTCAATAAGAGAGGCCACAGGTTTTATTATATATTTTATTGTTGTATTTTTCTCTGCTGAAACACAGAGTAGAAAAGAGTGAATTGCTGGAGGAGGCTACTGAACCTGAACCAGGATTTAAGTAAGTAAAGAAAAATAACATTAAGCTTTTACAAAGATAGAAAAGAAAGTGGTCAACAATACTACAAATCTTTTTTATTTGTTTATTTCTATTTGAGCCAGTGCACTTGAGCACTCTTACCCTTCGACTCACTTATCACTTCATCAGACTAAGCAATAATTGACCTCAGATCTGCATACTTTCCCGAAGAACCTGTAACCATTCTGAGATTTGATAACGTGGTATTGGTAAGTCTGTCAGTTTTCGCAAATAATTTCACGGCTCTATCCTTTATGTATTTTTTGATGGGATCAATCTTGAGATCCCTGAGGATGTCATTCGTCCTAATTTACCATGGTACTTTGAAAAGTCTTCTTAGAGCCTGACTTTGTGCAATTTCTAGCTGGCGAATAGTATTGTTTAAAGCTTTACTAAACAATGCACATCCATATAGAAATGACGGACGAATTATTTGGTTATATATCAGTTTCCTGTTCTTAGCATAGAGATTTTCATTTTTGAATAGCGGTTGAAAAATTATTATTAAATTTATTATGCTATTATTAAGTAAGAAAGAAGAGTTAATAAAGTAAGTGATATTGCTGTAATATACAGAAAAAGGTTTTCAATTGTTTAAAAATTCTTTTCTATTTGAATTTGTATATTGTATATTCATATTTTAAGGATCAATATCTTAAATTTATTTATTTTTTATTTCAGAGAGTGAAACATTTGATGTGTATATGAAAACAAGGATCTTGAGCAAGTAATCTGTGACCCATTGTGATATAAACAAAAAAAAAATTTTATGGCACACTAATTAGATTAAGAAATTTAATTAAAGCTATTATTTTTTGTTTACATATATAATTTAATATGTATATATATATATTATAATGTTTGTTATGTATTGTACACTATTATTAAAAAAAAGTTAATAAATATAAGTATTTAATGTAATAAATATGCATTAGAACCAATCAAATTTCTAAGATAGGCTGGGTCTTCAACGGCAACTGGTTTATTCCGACAACTAATCGGCTTAAAGCGCTCACCACTTCTAAAAAGCAGTCTGTCAACAGATCTTCATGGACTGCCACAATAACAGTATATAATATTTAATATTGCAGGTAAGTATTTATTCTTTTAATTGGAAAATTTCTTGAACTTCTGATATTAAAATATATTAGTAAATAACTTGCTTATATACTAACTCAAATTTCATTTTTAATGTACTATAAAAAGTTCTGGATTAATAAAAAATTTTTCACATACATATGGTAGTACTAAATTAGATGTTTCCTTCAATCTATCGAATGCACAGACATTTAAGAACTATTTTGGTTCCAAGAACAGCCGGTTCTACGTCCCGGAGTTTGTTCGACACCTACCAAAAGGACTTTACAAACTGTTTACTTCTGTAAACAGAACTAATTGTTTAGATAGAAACTTAATTGGCGCTAAGGCCATGTCACTAAGGTCTTCTTTTTAGCTTATACCTTAATACTTCGGAATTTCGGAATGATATTATTTTTTTAATTAATAGGTTTGCTTGCTTTAATCACAATATTTGCAGTGAATACTATGCGATGCTCTGCAACTTTTCTCGGAATAAAGTTATTTTGGTTGTTGTAGTCCATTAAGGTATTGCATCATTATAAAGTGACGCATGAATAATATAAGTATGTTGACATAATGTGGAGTCCATGGTATGATAGGTTCCCGGTCTCTGTTCGCTATGACATCAACTACTATTGTCTATTAAACCAAAGGACTGGAAGAAGAATAATGTGATATGTGAATAAAGAGGGTTAAGAGGATGTAGTTTGGGATTCGGTGAGGATTATATAAAATAATTTAAAAAGATAAATGTGGGAATTGGAAGAAGCGTGTTGCAGAGAGAAGGTTAAGAAACATGCTTTTCTTAATTAAATTAATGTTTGCAAAAAATCAAGATCAATTTTTTTAACTACGTTTATAAAAGTTATATATCCGAAATTAATTGAAAGAATTGTCTTAGTAGTAATGAAATTTTTATTTTGAAACTCAAAGAATAGAAAATAGACGTTGGACTCGTACCACATCATTGAAAGAAACCAACTTTTGTGCGATTTTGGCCCCATTTTGCGTTTTATATTTTAATTTTATTAGTTGACGGTATTTCCCCTTATCCACTGTCTAGTGTATAACGAACCCTTTTATTCCCACCACTTTCACGAGTTGTTTGTTTGGTTTTTATATGTTCAAAAGAAAAACATTAAAATTATGAACCGTTTTCATTTCAGTTTACGATTTGCGACGATTAGTCGCGACTGGGTGGTTTGATTGTGCACGAATCAGAGTGCTGGCGGCCCACTTCGCAGCCTGTGGAACTCATCCAAAAGCACGAAGCTCTCCTATTGTAATTGGGTAGAATTTTTATTCTTCAACTGTGCCAAAATACAAAGAAAGGCGCCAAATGCGTAACAAGTGGCGGCGACTCATTAAAAATTGTTGCGAGTTACCGCGTCGTCGTTGACGTGATTCTGAATGAAAATAAATAAAAAATGCGAATTAAATGAAACAAAACAAAAAGCTAAGATATCTCAGAGAAAGCACATGCAGGGCGACACTCCTGAAGTATCAGGCGACAGTGAGAGTCTCGTCTGCTTATTTTATGGAGACATAGAAGTTAGAAGCACACCAGCACGGAGACAAACTAATACAATTGGGAAAACGTAAATTCAAATTATACGCAGGACTTTGACTTAAATTGTGTACAATTGTGTGGTTGTTGGTTTTTCAGACGGTGAAATGAGTCTCTTGGACGCCGTCATCTTAGTTGTCGATGAATGTTGGTCGCCATTATTGCCGCCAGCGAATATAGTCGATGATGACAAGTAGCGGCTCTCATTGACAAATTATCGCGGAATGGGCGGTTGGGGTTTATGTACTTAGCTTTTTATTCAAGCTCATCGGAATACACTCTAAAAATAATAATTAGTTTAGTTGCTTTAAAATTTAAACATATTATACAACAATGAAGATATTAATATTTTTTTATAATAACACATGATATAACGTCATGATATAGTTAATATATAATTATAGTTTATTGATTTTATCCATATGTAGGCTTAATCGGCCTGAAGTCTTGAAGTCTTGATCTCAATGGATCAGAGTTTGAATTTCCGAGTGTGAGAATATATAAGATCAATACTAACTTAAAAGTCCTACTGGTAATATATAACTGCTTTACAATATGGGGACACTATGTACCAATGCAAGAAGTTGTTTTCTGAAAGCGATTACAAAGTTGGACCAAATTAATTTCAATTTTCACAGAAAATCTATAGAAACCAAATGTATGTGTCCCAGTATAGATAGAAGATATTTGTGTATCTTTTAGAATTATAGTTACAGTAGCTACGACATCAATTTAACTCTCAATCTCCGGACACAGAAACAGTTTACTACAATCTATAAAATTATAATAAGACTATTTGAAAACTCTTCTCAGTCAAAAGCCCATGAAACTCATTATATATCGTCTAAGTGACTCTAAATATCTGTTGGTACCAAAACTAATAGTTGAAAAACAAATAAAACTATTGATGCAAGAGTTTTCGACATCGGAATCAATTAAGTGCATTACATTTTTTCACCTAATCAGTCCATATTGCAGTTGGAGCGGCCGTTGGGTTTTACTGTCAGCGATAATAAAACCGGGGAGGTATGGTGGTACCGAATCCTCTCGAAGTGAATCGAAGGAGTGTACAAAAATATATATTTCTTCTCAATATTAACGCATCACGACAGGACTAAATAGTACATGCAGCGTGTTATGTGAAACCTTTGGAATAATAATTTACCACAAAACTCTTTTATATAGCTCTCATACGGTCAGGCTAAGTTCTTTCACAGTTCTCGATTCTTCGACTGGGTTGATGCTTTTTAAAAGGATTTTGAATTTTTAAACAACTATTTACATGTGCAGTGATTAAACAGCTCTACTGTAGTTCAGTTGAAGAGTATTGTCACAAAACTTTATTACTTTAAGCTTCAAATTGGCTAAATCGGTTAATGTTTAATCATAACCCAAAACATTAGATGTTCTTCTATAAGCTCTTATTTTCATCTCCCCTGATTTTAACTTTCACTCTCATTCCAAAGAGGTGGATTAGTGG